ATGAATAATTGTTCTGATGAAAACAAGATTAAGAAGTCATGTTTGCTAATAAATGGTATGATGAGGCCTGATTTCAGTCTGATTACAGGGTACAAGCAATCACTTATCACTACAAAGAGGAATACAGAAACAGAGAGAAAAAAACAATAGCTAAACATTACTGCAGCAGTTCCTTCGACAGATATGTGTTTGGTCGTTTTGTAACCCATAAATTGTATTATATAAGCAGGGTACTAAGTCTTAATATCTTAAAACACAAAGTGTCAGCATGAAGTGAATTTGAAAAATTACTTTCAATGATAGGCGTTCACACATTTGATGTCTCATTATTTCAGTAGTGAAGTGAGATATGATCAATGGCATAATCATTTTCATCGCAGTACCGGAAGAGAAGCTACCGATGTACCATACAGAAGACGTTTTATAAATAAATCGTGGTAGAATGTCCTATATACTTAAACATTTGCTTGTAAAACAATCCATAGTTTGCTTAGAATGAAAATCTTTACTGTGTGAGGAAGGATTTCCCATTTTTCATGAGGATGATAAAACTCAGTGGTCTAAATTTTCAAATTCAACTAATTTGTCATATCGATTTGGTTTGTGAGTTACCAATTGTAGAGAGTTCCAAGCTAAGACAAAACAGATATTGATTAGTCATTCGCTTCATGGTTAACTCCAAAAAACTGGAGTTACATGGAAAACAATTTATTTTATTGGTGATTTGTGAACAATAAATGTTTATTAACATAAACATAACCTCCATCTGACACTGACATTAAATGCCTTTTTCGTCTGTGGTTCGCTTTACCATCTCTTAACACCAACATCCTGGATTACAGATACGAGAATATAAAATATTTGATAAATCTGAAGATAAATCTGATTGTTCTAACCATAAATTATCAAGAATTCCCATCATATATTTGTGTTATCCTTATTACTCCTATCAACAATCATTTAGTAATAACTGAACATTGATAATTGGAATGCTGTTTTTATATTTTGCCTATAAAAAGGTTGAACGAAATGGAAATTATTTTTTAGTCGGCGTTCATTAAAAATGTCCTGTTTTATTTCATAGTTATTTTGATTGAAAAAATTTTTGGAAATCAATGATTTTCACGTCTAGGTGACATTAGTTCACTGATGTTGAATGGTTTTCTTTTAAACCGAATACATATATTGACATATTGTCTCATTGAAAATGTATTTATCGAAACTGAAGGTCATATTGCAGTTAAACGTATGCGTTTTATAAACAAGCACCTTCACACTCAAATTCCTGTACATAAGCCAGGTAAACTATGCCGTTGATTAAAAGGAAGGTAGAAAGTATAAAAGGGTGACAAAAAAATAAGTTCACATACACATATATACACTGAAGAATTACAAGGGCGATAATCAACCACAAATATTTTGGTGTATGTAAACATATACATGTATTCATCTACACGAGTAAAAGTTAACCAACCAAATCATGGATTATTCTAAAAATGAAATACCAGGTATAGCTGATCTGAGTAATACATGGTCAAACATGCACGTAAACAGATTCTATTAACATACGTGATTATATTCGACTTTGAAATAGAATAGTTTTTCCTATTAAGCTTTAACTTGGGCGATGTCCTAAAACTTTTAAAGTTTGACACTGAAACAGAGATACTATGACCAGGGAAACTTCACTGTATTGATCTCCATGGCTGACTCACTAAAATCTCTATACTTATTTACTAGATAGACAGGAGGGATCATTTTTGGCTTGAGCTATCTGTTGTATACTATATAAATTACCGCATAATCTAAACATACATCTATGTGACGTAAATGATGACATTAACACCTATTTCACTGAATTGAACCTTTGCACTCTTAGAAAAGTTGCACAGTCAATATCCCTATTTTATAATACAATTTTAAAAGTCTCCACATGTATATGCTCACACTTTTTATTGATTATCCTACAAATACTCGAATCGAAACATTAATTACTTCACATATTAGATCGTTAATCACAAGGGTAATAAATCACGTTGTCATTTAACTTGTTCAATTCGATTTCTTAGAATGTAAGTACATTTAATTAATAATGTTTACAAAATAATATCACAATGTATATTGCTTTCTGTACATTGGATATATTAACTAGTTCTTGGTTTCAAACATTAGTTCTTAGTACAGTATAGGTATTTCACGTTTTAACGAGAGTGTTAAAGTCTTTTCAGTATTAGTTTTATGATTCAGTAAATAAGGTGGTATGAAAGAGAATGTGTTTACAGTTAATCATAAACTATATTTTCAAATTGCTAAGTTATGTAACTGACGTCCATATAAAGTTTCAGTTGATAAATATTTTGTCATATTATACTATATATCTGAAAGTATCAGACGTTACGTGCATATATTCACACACACTAGAACTAGGTCCTAATACTTTTAAATGCTAATGCCTTAATTGAGAACTACTAAGTCATCATACCTATTAACAACATACTTGTACGGAGCTGTGATGTGTACGGCACTATGTTTTTTTCAGTGTTGTACATGTCCTAATATTCTGTGTGAATACTAAACGAAAAGTTAAATGTGGATAAAAGTAAGAGAGATCAATTATATAAACAGATATATCCAAACAGCATACCAACCGGACCATTAAAGTTAGTTATAGAGATGACTGCAAGAATGACCTACGTAAGATTGACTTGGATGTAATAGTAAAGTGAAAAGAAGGATACCTCTTTAAGATATCAAAGAGAAGTACAAAAGAAACACAATACTTTCAGTACCTGGGAAAGTACCTGTTACATGGCATTCCTAAAAGTGGCTGAATTCAAAAATCATGGATGAAGAACAGCTTAAATATTTATTTCAAATGAAACCTGGTGTCAAATAAAACTATGTATTCCCCCCTTTATATTAGTTGTTCGCCAGATTATGAAGTACTCCATATCTCAGTAGACGCACGGAATATAGTGTAAAAGAGCCACACTAAAAAACATTTTGTATTGACAATTGGAAGCAGATATCATGACATTGAATAGTATTTGATAAAAACTGAGAACTCAGTAAGTAGTTGCTTCAAGATCTCTGGTCGGTGATCTATGCTCCAAGATGAACGAAAGGCTTCACTAGTTAGTTATTGAAAATATTACTAAAAGTTCATATCCTCTTTTCTTCTTAATCTTTATTTATCCTCCAGCCAATTTACCCCGTCAGTTAATATAACTTTTATACAGACAATTGCACCATTTTATAAACATGATATAGGTATATAAGTAACCATTATTTTTACATAATCTATTTTATGAGGTTTAAACAGTTTGTGTTCTGAAGAGACCTTACAAAGTACATGAATCCATACTATACTGTTTGTTCATAGGGTTAGATGGAGTTGACTTGAAAACTGGTTTTTGTGATTAGCTTCCTCTCAACAATCCTATTTAGATTGATTTCACGTAAGTATAGGATTTTCAGTTAGCTAAAAAATAGTTACCGATTGTTTTCATTATCATGCGTGACATTTTACGTGAACACACAAATTAATTTTACTTTTATGGAGATCATTTACAAGTTGATGGTAGTTTAACTAATGAACTTTTAAGTCAACTTCAATCTTCTACGTTATTTCGTAGATGAATATTATCACTTAGCAGTTTTAAAATTAAGATTTAATATAAACCCAACTATTTCTAAGTTTAATGGTATTTTCAGAAAGGGGTTTTGTGGAGATTTTAGTAATTTTATATAGTTGAGATCATGAGTCAATTGAAGCTAATCCATCATGAAATACCTGGAAGCATTGGACGGCCAAATCGTCCTATTGTGGGACTCCTCAGCAGTGCGCATCCACGATCCCGCCTCGCCAGATTCCAACCCAGGACGCTTAACCTCTAGACCATTGAGCCGGCCAGCATCCAACGATGTCAATGTCTAACTTCAATCAATCCATGAAATTGGGCAACCATTCACCGATGTCTTCAGTGAGTTGACATCTCTCAACAGACCTGGTTGAACTTCATTAGTTGCTGCAAGGCGGGATCATGGATGCGCACTGCTGAGGAGTCCCATAATAGGACGAAACGGCCGTTCAGTGCTTCCAGATTTTCCACAGTGGTCTAGTTTTATGTTATTTGCAGAGTAAAATAGTTTCAGTTATTTAATTATTAATACACTACTATGGTTTCTTTATTATTTGTATACTGTCGAAAGAAAAGTAGCAACTATACTGAAGACATCAAGATTATGGTTCCAGTTTTTTTTTCTAATCTTACTAAGATTTATGAGGAAAAAGATTAAAATTTTGAACAATACTTACTTACGCCTGTTACTCACAATGGAGAATAGGCCACCGACCAGTATTCTCCAATCCACTCTGTCCTCGGCCTTCTTTTCTAGTTCTATGCAATTTTTGTTCATTCTTCTCATATCTGTCTCCATTTCTCGACGTAATGTGTTCTTTCGCCTTCCACTTATCCTTCGGCCTTCAGGATTCCATGTGAGGGCTTGTCTTGTGACGCAGTTGGGTGACTTTCTCAATGTGTGTCCTATCTACTTCCAACGCTTCTTCCTGATTTCTTCCTATACTGGATGGAATCTGGTTTGTTGTTTCTCACAAAAGCTTGTTGCTGATAGTGTCTGGCCATCGGATCCGAAGTATCTTGTGTAGACAACTGTTGATAAACACTTGTATCTTCTGAATGATGGCTTTCGTAGTTCTCGACGTCTTCGTGCCATACAGTAGAACTGTCTTGACATTTGTATTGAAAATTCTGATCTTGGTGTTGGTTGACAATTGTTTTGAGTTCCAGATGTTCCTCAGTTGTAAATATGCCGCTCTTACTTTGCCGATCCGCGCCCTCATATGTAATATAAAAAGGATTCTATTTATTTATTATTCCCAACGTTAAACTTTTGATCTCAATTTTTATAATTTAGTAAAGTAGTATAAAACAACTTTCTATGTCTAGAGATGACTGACAGAAATTAAAATTTGAATGATGATCATAAGAAGGAGCAAGACGTCATTGTTTTTCCATAATGATCATGATCGTGATCGTGATCGTGATCGTGATCGTGATCATCATCATCATCATCATCATCATCATCATCATCATCATCATCATCATCATCATCATCATCATCATCATCATCATCATCATTATCATCATCATCATCATCATCATCATCATCATCATCATCATCATCATCATCATCATCATCATCATCATCATCATCATCATCATCATCATCATCTTTGCAGTCCGATTCAATATAAATTGATATTCCTTTTTTTTCCTACATACAATTGTATACATTAACGAAACCTACATAAAGTTAATGTCATTCTATATAATTGACAGTTGATGAATAACTTGGAAAAACATATATTGAATTCACAATGTAAATGAACTACATGATTGTTATGTAAAGAATTGAAAAGTTAGTTAAGCATTCGGTATATATATACGGACACTAATAAACACTATGTAATATGTCTATCCTAGTTATTCTGTTCCATTTGAATAATATATCCATAGATATATGAACGAAATCATCTAAAGAAAAAAAATCTCTCAATTTACCAAGATTTATGATTATTAGAAATTGATTCTGTCTGAAACTTGCTTCTTTTTAGTTGTCAAAAACACAAGATAATTGACACTTGAATAATATTTTAAGTAAGACAATCACCATGTGAACTATAATGCTGCTTCCATTACAACTATTTAGTTACAAAGTAATGGTATTTAAATTTTATGATATCAGTTGTCTGAAATAAGTGTCTACTGTTTCAAATTGAGTAAAACTAAACTAATGAGTATACATAATGTCATAAGGGGTTTTGTGTAGGTTTCAGTATTTTCATAGTTGAAATCATAAGTCAGTTGAAGCTAGACCACTATTGAAAACCTGAAAGCACTCGACGGCCGTTTCGCCCTATTATTTGACTCCTCAGCAGCGCGCATCCACGACCCCGTACGCACGATATCCGAACACAGGACTTATCAGTCTCGCGCGCGAGCACTTAACCGATAGACCATTGAGCCGGTATCCAATGGTGTTAATGTCTAATTTCAACCAATCCACGAAATTGAGCAAACATTCAACAATGTGTTCAGTTAGTTGATATCCCCACAACAGACTTGGTTGAACTCCACTGGTCACTGCTTCCCGCTAGAACTCAAGGAAACATCCCTTGAGGTCAGTTAATAGTGAGCATATGATTATCGATCAGAAGGGGTTTTGTGGAAATTTCAGTATTTTCATAGTTGTTATCATGAGTTGTTATCATGAAGCTAGACCACCATGGAAAACCTGGAAGCACTCGACGGCCGTTTCGTCCTATCATGGGACTCCTCAGCAGTGCGCATCCAGTTAATGTATTTTCATGATCGTTGTTCCAGTAAGTTTTAGTGTTGATATAATGTAGGAGCGAATGCAGAAACAATAATCTATTTATTAGAATATTGTAAATATAAAAAATAAGTAAAAGACATTGTTATACCATGTGGACGTGCATGATCTACGTATTCTCATTGATCGAAATGAAATAAAACATGGTTTTCTATAATCAAGACTAACAACTATGAATAATTGGAATGCCAACTATTGTCAGTGATCTTGTCTGTATATAAAATCAATTGAGCATTGAGTTGAAAAAAAAGACATGAAACATTAGCTTAAGACATGAACTTTCTTCAACAGGATATATAGCAAGACAGGTAGAAATTGAGAAAGGTAACAAAAGTTCTAGGAATGGAATCGGTAAAAATATCAAAGTTCATGCATGGATGTTTTTAAAGTAATTAATTAAAATTAGAATGAAATGGTCGGTTGGGGTTTTTAATGAAATTTCTGTTGACCATGATTTATTGACAACTTTCTCCATTTGAATGAATAAATTAAGTTAAAGTTTGTCAACAAAACTGTTTAAGTGAAGTGTGCTAAATTCTATTTTATCGATTATTAGTTCAGGTTATTAGCTTAAAAAACGTTGACAAAATGACGGTTATCAGTTAAGTTTACATACTTACTTACTTACGCCTGTTACCCCTCGTGGAGAAGCATAGTCTGCCCACCAGCATTCTCCATCCAACCCTGTCCTGGGCAATCCTTTCCAGTTTAATTTTTCAGTTGTTATTCATCCTTTTCATATCTGCTTCTGTTTCCCCATTTATTAGTTAAGTGCTTAGTTATTAAATTGTTTAAAACTGTGGTGCTTATTGACTAGTAGAAATGTGATAATGTATAGTTTTTCTTGTACCTTCAATTCATATCCTTTACTCTTTTCATGTAATTAGATAAAAGTAATAAGACTAACTGCTTTGGTATGTGTTTATCATTTGGGTTTGAATTTCAATTATTTTTTCTTAGTAACAGGAAGCAATAAGAGTTTCCCCAATTTCTAAATTACACCACAGCAGTCGGTATCTTTTTTAAAGCAAGTTCTGTTTTATATCTGAACATAAATCTTCAAATCTATATTTATCATTCATTCTTACTTAGGAAGTGATTGATTTACTTAGATCACACGGTTTCTCTCTCTCTTACTAGTAACGTTCCGTATATGAATGATGGACTGACGGTTTAAGATTTTCAGATTTACTCCTTTCATGTTTAAAATTATCAATTTCATTATCTTTGATTGAACATTTGACTGTTAACTTAATGCAAAATATTTCAGATCACTGTTAATTAATACATGATTGAATGTATTATGAAACTAGTCTTATAGTGGGATATCCCTAATAACCGAAAAAGGGAAAATCTGCAGTCATTAATTTTTACATGTTACCTGACCAATTACTGTGTGATATTTACCATTTATTGTTGGATTATTTAGATTGGTTTGTGTGGAGTTTTATTTACTTTGTAGATTGTTTTCAGTATGAAACGATAACTGAAAGAGAGCCATTTTAGAAACGGAAGTCATTTAATGGTTGTTAGATATGCAAGATTATCTCTAAAGTACAGAAGACCCATAATTTTGGGTCAAAACACATAAACTTCAACTTGAACTTGAAATCACGCACAGCTCTCAGTGAATAAGCCATTATCCTTAATCAGGATGATACACATTTGATCATATTTCATTCATTGTTTCCAGTTAGCAGCGTTGTACTCATTGAAGATTAGACTGAAGTAATCTATTTTCACTAAGTGAACTAGTTATAAAGTAACATGTAATTAAATAACAACACTTCAGAAATCTTAGTTTCGTTAACAGTTTAACGTCTTCTCTCGTCACTGCAATCAAGTTTCTCTTTTTCTATCGTCAGACAGGAAAAATACAGGATGAATTAAAAATTATACCGTCATATATTTAAGATTCCATAGTGTTATAGCATGTTCACTAATCTGGTTGGTTAGATGCAATTAAAGATTAGATTACAATGAGTTCAATTCATTTAGATTATCATGTTGAGATTAAATGATCTACAGTTCATTAAAATTTATCAATATTGGGTATGAGTAATATCATAAAATAAATTCGTTACGAATTATTAGATTATAGTTCAGTGATCTCATTGCATTGTACACGCAGTATGACCGAGAGTTTCTGCTTTCTAACCTGTATGCCTAGTATTTTAACACTACCAGCAATTAAGCATATTATTTTACATCTCTACTATTATTATTTCGGCACATGAAAGTTAAGTATGCATTCTAGGGTTTTTGAGAATTACCACTATTCAATTACCTTTTCTTATATAACATTTTTAAATCGTTTAATTATTTCATGTATTGTAAAGCTTGATTTCTTACTACGTCGCGTACTACTAGACTACTTGAACGATAGAACCCACAACGTCGCAAGATAGAAGACAGAAGAACTAATAAGTAGAAACTTTATCCCCCAAAACAGTGTCAAAATATAGCACAGAAATCTCATGTATTTATAGTTTTTGACTGAGAGTAAATCATCATTTCAGACAACCATAGGGGTCATTCTTATCCATCCAATGAGGAAGCTAGACGTCGACATTCCAGAATATTCCCCCAGCAGTGATTGGATGGAATGTATGCGGCTCTTTCTGAGATTCTTAAGGCTTCCTAGAGTTTACCAACAAGCCGTCCTTACAGTTAGGTTGTCAAAGAAAACACTAATAAACATTTCATATCATGGAGATCTGTATAACTTTGATGTCATTTTCACAAACTAACGTCAGCTGAAGAAATTGTGTATACATATCGCTTGCTTACAGAAGCTATTCATTCAATTAACTCAGTAGATAGAATCTCTATCATGTGATATAAGTAATTCACAATCCGTATATCAATAGTGTTAAAATTTGAATACGGTTGTGACATATGTAATATGCATATTTATCCTATGTATTATACCTACAGGATGATTTTAATCTTGTGCACACAACTTGGTTTATTTGTTTTCTCTAAATAATAAGTACATGAAATGGTTTAATATTTTAATGTACCCATTGGATATGTTATTTAACATAGATGTGTAAATATACACATGTCTATCTAACGATTTTTCATATTATATATGATTTGTTCTCCTACATGGAGACACATATCATGTCCATAGACGACCATAAGTAAACTTCATATATTTGTGTCTAGATGTTTGTATGAATGTGTAGATATGTTATGTAATGTGTGCACATATAGCTTATTCGCTCAATCACATTACACGGGTAATCATTTAAGTTAGTAATATTAGAATTACCAACTATTATGGGCTTTTTTCATTTTAAAAAGGAACCAATAAATTGATAACTCTAATCACTAAAGGGAATTAACCATACATTGATCTAATTATTTAAACGTATTTAAACAAAATGAATTAATAATGAAGTACTCATATCTATTCATGTTCATGTATATATCCATGCTGTAATGCAAAAGTTTACAGTGAGAAATCATAACAATCATCAGTGTGATTTCCAGCTTAAAACTTAATAACTCAAAGTAACCCAAAAGTGGAACAAATACAAATATCTGTAAATTAATCATCTTCCCTTACAAACCATCTTTAATTATTTGAAGAAAACATATCTCTTAGATAGAAACTTTCATGAGATTTTGTTTAATAATTTACCCAGTTAAAGAAAATTACATCAAGTTGAATTAACAATTGTGAATTCATTTGAAAATTAAATGTCTGGTGATACTGAAGCCACATTCGTTTTATCTTTAGACGATGATGAAAATGATATTGCATCATCTCATCAAAATCCTAATAGAACAATAACAGCAGATTATTCAACAGATAATACAGTAGTTGAATTCTCTATTTCAATTAATGATGATAGCGTTGAAGTGAAAGGAGGAGATTCAATGTCATTGGAAGAACAATTAGCTTGGTGTAAGTAGAATATGATTCCTTTTTTTTAAAGTGTGTGGAACTTCACGTAATTTTTCATAGTGAATTATTATAAACGATCAAATAGGTGTTCTCTTTACGTTTAGAGATTACTGAATGGTGTACATTCGAAAGTTTTTCTCGGGAATTTAAACTAAAAAGTTCTCGTGCTGTAACTTGTACAGAATTAATAAAACCTACTAACCTGTTTATCTACTTATCAAGCCCAGTTTTTACTGTTTTTTCGGAAAAGTAGGTTTGATTTTAACTATTCAAAACATAGTGAATGTAGAACCATTAAATTGTATTTCTTGCCTTAAGCACTAATAAGCATTTGAAAACTCCCAAACCACTGATACCTTACTGAATTTTATATTTTCTATTGTTGAGTATCTCTAATGAATACAGGTTTTCGGACGATATAATGATGTTCAGTGAATGCCTTTAGATTTTATGTCAAGTTATTTATGAAAAACTTTTGAATTTTTGAATATAACTTTCTTTGCCAAATGATTACAAGTGATGATCCATGAAAACATATAGAACAATAGACAACTATATCGTCATTGTTTGGAATTCGTTAGCATTGACTTTCTCCAACCTTAATCCTTTAGGTCTTTCACGAAGAATGATTCCTTCAAACTATTGAGGTGAAATCAGCTGATCCATATTTTGACCCTGAGTTGATTTAAAATAAGCGACTAATTCGATTATGTAGTTTAGAATGTATACGTTTACTATATAGTTATAATCTACTTGGTTTTTTTTAAAGAATACTTTATCTAAATGGCATTTTATTGGAATTCTATAGATTACTTTCTTGTCTATAGATAATGACTTTTATTTAGCTTTAGTCATATAATAATCCTGATGTCTGCAATATAACACAACCTTTACATCAAAGATTAGATATCCTAAGTTTTAATAATGTCAAGGTTATGTATTTATTACTTGTTATAAACAACAACATGGAATTCATCAAATAACCACTTAATAGGAAAATAACAATCAATCAATGTGAATATTGATATTAGTTTATAATTAATATAAACACCATAATCAATAAAATAAATAACCTTTGAAATTGATTGTTTGATCAAATTAATTATTGACGTGTTTTTCTTACCGGCTTTTTTAAAATTTATTTTTTTCTAAAAATTATTCAATTTCAAGAGATTGATTACCAATATATTGATATATTGATATTGATTACCAATAGGATTCAATATAAAGTACATTGTTTTATTTGTAGCCTGATAGTAGAATGCATGGATATTCTACTGGATAAAGACACCTCTTGTCATATATATATATATATATATATGTATATATATATTCCATATGACGTCTTTATACTGCATATCGTTTGACTAAATAGCTAATCAACTGATTCTTGGGCGTTGACTACATCACATTGCTTTGGATACTGAATAGTCCACTTTGTATGGGTTAAAATTAAATACTCTAATTTTTGTTACAGATTGTTAATAATTCAGAATCATTTAAAAAAGATCTAGGGACACTGAAAAACGTACTAGTCGATACTAACTGCAGCAGCTTGAGAACTCCTGCCTAGCTTTATGTTTGTAGACCAAGGAGTTGGAATTTGGCAGTTTATATTTTCAAATTCAGTGGTTTTTAGATATAGCACAACTGTAGTTTGATACCGTCACTAATAAATATTTCATGAACCAAAGGTGGCATTCCAAGAGAATTTCAGGAATCTGTCTCAGAGTCAAGCACCTTTAACTGATTTCAAACTAGTAGGCAAACCATTTTCTAGTTGAACTTATTTTCAGAAATCTCGCAAAAAAATATTGTTAGTTTTATAAAAACACATTACACATAAACTTTTTGGCATGGAATTACCAATTTTGAAGGTTGAACACCACTCCAATTCCTAAGGTTTTTCACATGTTCGTTCGCTAAACTTATTATAAACCAAAAGATGGCTCCTCAAGCAAAATAAACATCTTTATGAAAACCTAATGATGATCGTGGAATTAGGGAAATTACACTTATCAATATCTGCGAGATAATATCACTATAAGTTAAGACTAATACTTCATGACTGAGTGAACCACAAACAAATACAGAGGACAAAGCAATCATGACAGGCAATCAGGGATAATTGGAGATTATTGATAAACTAAATTAATTTCGACAAGCCAATGACGACATTCGATGTAAATCCTTCATCACTTTTTTACAAAACACATTAGAAACTGATAAAAGTTGGATTTGTAGATGGTGAATTGTTCGGGTCTGTGCAGAGTTTTAAGTGGACATTGTTTAGGCTTTGTCTTAATAATCCGAAAATTTTGAAAAAAACCTAAACTATTTTCCAACTGAATTATCAAATTCAATTGCCAAGATATGGTCAGACTTTTTTATTAAAAGTAAGTATTATAGCAGGCAAAAACGAATATGGAATCTACAATTATGACTTTTTCATGAATAGTTAATATTTTTCATGCTATGACCAGCTGACACAATTAGGTATGGATATTACTTATCTGTTTTGCCACTTGTTTTTCCCAATAGTATTCTTTTAGAAAAGATGTGAACTGATCAAACTACTTGTTGTTCATATTCATTAAGGGTGACAACCCAAAGAAGATAAAACAAGCATTGACAACATTGAATACTGATAAATCAGTGTATCTATTTTTGTTACTTACTTACGCCTGTTACTCCCAATGGAGAATAGGCCGCCGACCAGTATTCTCCAACCCACCCTGTCCTAAGTCATTCTTTCTGGTTCTATCCAATTTTTGTTCATTCTTCTCATGTCTGTCTCCATTTCTCGACGTAATGTATTATTTGGTCTTCCTCTTTTCCTTTGACCTTCAGAATTCCATGCTCTGTGACGCAGTTCGATGATTTCCTCAATGTGTATCCACTTCCAGCGCCTTTTCCTGACTTCTCCCTCCGCTGACATCTCGTTTGTTCTCTTCTACAGTAGGTTGTTGCTGTTAGTGTCTGACCAACAGATCCGAAGTATCTTGTGTAGAAAACTGTTAATAAACAAATACAGTAGAACTGTCTTGACATTTGTATTGAAAATTCTGATCTTGGTATTGGTTGACAAATGTTTTGAGTTCCAGATGTTCTTCATTTGTAAATATGCTGCTCTTGCTTTGATGGTCCACGCCCTCACAATCTATTTTTCTTCATAAGTTAAAATTATCTCATATTAAAAGTAGTTGAAATTAGTGAAATCTAAATAAGGTATTCCAAAGAAAATCATGTAAATATGTTCATACCTTAGTTAAAGTAAATGTCTTCTGCTATGGATTAAATAATCTAGGCAATTATTACTTATAGAAGGGGTTTTGTGGAGATTTAGTATTTATCATTGTTGAAAGCGTGAGTCAATTGAAGCTAGACCACCATGGAAAACCTGGAAACACTGGACGGCCGTTTCGTCCTATTATGGGACTCCTCAGCAGTGCGCATCCACGAACCTGCTCTCGCGAGCGAGATTCGAACCCAGGACCTACCAGTCTCGAGCCGAAGCCCTTAACCGATAGACCACTGAGCTGGCATCCAACGGTGTTAATGTCTAACTTCAACTGATCCACGAAGTTGAGCAACCATTCACCAATTGTCTTCAGTGAGTTCCTATCTCACAACAGACGTGGTTTTGAACTCCACTGGTCACTGCTTCTCACTAGAGCTCCTAGATATACTTCTCGAAATCACGTCTGTTGTGAGATAGGAACTCACTGAAGACAATTGGTGAATGGTTGCTCAACTTCGTGGATCAGTTGAAGTTAGACATTAACACCGTTGGATGCCAGCTCAGTGGTCTATCGGTTAAGGGCTTCGGCTCGAGACTGGTAGGTCCTGGGTTCGAATCTCGCTCGCGAGAGCAGGTTCGTGGATGCGCACTGCTGAGGAGTCCCATAATAGGACGAAACGGCCGTCCAGTGTTTCCAGGTTTTCCATGGTGGTCTAGCTTCAATTGACTCACGCTTTCAACAGTTATTACTTAATTTTATAATTTTTCACGATATAGTTTTAATCACTTGGCATTATGTAATTGAATCTTCACATTGATGTTTAGAACTACAATTGATCAGTCTCTTATTGGTATATATACATACTTGTCGTATTGCTTCGATATTACCTTAATTCACAAGCATTCTAAACAAAGATGGATAGTAGCTAATAGTTTTATGCTTGAACATTTAAAAATAAACATTTCCTTACGCTCTATTTTCAAACATTGAAAACTAAAATTCAAGGTCAAAGTTAAATTATATAAATGCTCAAAATTTAGACTGCATTATTCTGAAATAAAATAATTCACATATTACTTACCTGGTTAAATGTTCAACAATGGCATTCAAATGGTTTCAATCAAGAACTAACTCATGAACGTTTTACTGTACAGAAATGAATGGTTAGTAGTGATTATTTTTTATAATGTTAGCAGACAAAATGCTAGTTTTACTTGCAAATTATATCTGTATTCACCAATTAGTCTTCCTTTCCTTTACTAATAACATAAGGTTTAAATCTAGTGATCATTCATGAAGCATACATTATCTCAACTAAATATGGCAAATTATGTCTTAAATAGTAATCAATGATAGAATAAAGAAAGCGTATTTTAAGGTTAATGTACTTTGATTCTCCATGAGACTGGAGCGTAATAGTTATGACTTTTGACGTAACGAAAGCTATATACATATTGATTGAGTTATGGTAACCATCATCTATTTATCAAATATTATATATACCTAGGGGTTCTTAGTCCGCTTGTTTCTGATATTCAAGATCAAATTGATTTTTAGCAGTCGGCGAATGGGTGACTACCGAATAGAATCTATCACTCAATAACCACATAAATATTACCAATATCTAAATATCCATTCTAAAGTCGTTATCAACGGAATCTTAAGTATTGATGTTTATTTCATTGTAACCGATTGGTTGTCCATGAATATAATTCTTATAAATGGGGAACTTATTTTATTCATCAATATTAGCGTTAG